GAAAGGCGCCGCAGCTGGCTCCAGGCCCCAGTGCCATGGTCCGAAGGACAGGTGGTGACACCCGCCCCCCTCCTCCCCCCGGGAGCAGGCGGAAGGCTGCGGGAGGTGATTCCTGCCAGACAGGAACCTCGTGGACTCCCAGCAAATACTCGCTGGCTTTATCTCTGACTCTGAGCCCCACGTTACACCTTGGGTCAGTTTCAAAGACCTCTTTTATTTTTTAATTGAGGTAACATTTACATAACATAAAACGAACCATTTTACAGTGACCAGTCTAGTGGCGTTGAGCTCCGTTCATAGCGTGTGCAGACACACTGAACCCACAAGGTCAAGGCACCAGCCCCTCTGCCGAATTCCTACCATTTTCATCATCCGGAAATAAAAGCCCGCTAAGCCGCTGGCCGCCCTTCCTCCTCCGCGGCCTCCCGCACCCAGTAATCTGCTTCTGTCCATGGGACCAAAGACCTTTCAGAGGCTCCTTCTAGTGAGATCCATCAAACTCCCGATGGGCCTCGGACGTGAGAGTCCAGGTCTTCCTGGTGGACTCTTTGCTTAGACGAGAAGCTAGGTGATGGTTCCTGGGCCTGAGCCTGGCCTGAACCCCCGCCCGCTCTCGAGCAGCAGTGTGTCCTTTGCGGGTGCCGCTAGTTCCCCCGCAGTGCCCAGCTGGTGGCTCGTGGCGAGGCAGCAAGTGCTGGGAGACAGGCCCGCCAGGAAGCGCCTCCTGGGCGCACTGTGTCCCTAATCAGTCCAGCCCAGCGCCAAGCTCCTCGGCACCAAGTTCAGCCCAAAGCCATCAACCTCTTAGCCGGCATCAAGGAATAGACTTTGAAAGAGCAGGCCTCTCGCGGCAGTGGCCGCCGATGGCCGGTGAGCAGGACTGGATGCGGCTGCCGTGTGCACATGGGGTAGGAGGGCGGGAGAGGAGGAGGGGACCGGATTTGCCCACAGCCACGGAGGCTGGGGGTCCACGTGACCGAGCCACTCGTCAGGAAGGTCGGGCTTGAAACAGGCGTGCGTGGAGGAAACCAACTGCTGGCCGTCGAGCTGTCGGGGAGGGCGGGGGCGGGCGGGCGCGGTTCCAGAGTCACGCTGGGAGCCTGCTAATGATGTCTCGGCCCCTTCCCCTCAGCGCCACGCTGGCCGGCCGGCCCTCGGACCCTCCCCGTGTGAGAGGTGAGGGGGCCCACTGGAGGCCCGGAGCTACCACCGGCAGAGTGTGACTCCAGCCCGGGCACATGCAGGAGCAGCAGATGTCTGCTGTGGGCTATGCAGGGCTCGCCCTGGCCGTTTGTGGCCGTGGAGGACCCCAGGCCCCTTCCGCGCAGGGCGTGACCGGGGGTGTGCGGCGGGGGGTCTTCGGAACAATCTGAGAACACAGGCGTGAGCCGCGTGGCTCCCTGGTGGCTTTAGAAGGGGTTTTCATTCTCCCCAGAGGCGGAGGAGCCTCGCGTCTGTGACCGATGGGCGCTGCCTTGGCGCCCGAGAGCATCTCAGTCATCAGCTGCCCCTGGCCCACTGCAGGCCGCGGTGACACACGCCTTTCGCAAGCCTCTTTTCAGATGCCCCCAGGGAAGGTCCCCAAGCGCTCCCCTTCCCACGGGAGGCTTTCCGGGGGCTCTGCATCGTAGTGGCTCCTTTCCAGCATCGCCACGAGGCCTTTCCAAGAGCTGCCTCGCCTGGGGGGCGCCGCCTCACTTCTTAGCCGGGACGTAGGTGGCCCGGCCTCCGGCAGCATCCGTACCGCTTCCCGTGGTTTCTCTGCCACTTGGGCTTAAAACAAAGCTGTCTGACTGGGGCCGGGAGCACAGGGCTGAGAGCTGGAAAGTTCATGTAGAAACTGTGGGGAAAAGTCTTGGGTCAGCGACAGACACAGGAGAGGCTGGCGGTTGGGAGGAGCGTTCGAGGGCAGAGAGCTGTGTCCCGCTTGTCTGCGATCTGCCTGAGCTGGCGGCCGCTCCAGCAGCAGCCACTGTCCCCCACAACTGCTGAGAACAGCCGACGCTTCAGCCAGGGCAAAGTGCCGGGCCCACCCCGCCCTCGCGGCGGAGGCTGGGAGTGCTAGGAAAGGTGACACCTACGTTTCCGTTTCTAGAGGGACCTGAAAACTTGAAGAGCGAGGGGACGAGTCGCCACCTCGAGTTCCCGCCACGGTGGAGGCGTCCCGTCCTTCCGTGGACTGCTGGGTCGACACCTCGGACGCCAGCGACGCCTTCAGCGCCCGGCTCTCTGGCGCCCACCGCGGAGCCGCTGTCCCCCACCCCTAGGACAATTCTCTTCTCACGCCTCTCACGAGCCACCGGGCCGTTGGACGAAAACGACCTTGAAGTGCCTTTCTGACCTTTGCTCAGAACAGAACAGAACCGCCTCCATCTGGTTTTCTCTGTGGGCGTCTGTCCACGTTCCTGACAGGACAGGCAGAGCTCACGCGCGAAGTCACCGGCACTTAAGCCCCGCGATGCAGAGCTCGTTTCCCTGTAGATGTCACTGTCCTCACCTTTTCGCCCCGGGCACCAGAACCGGACCCAAATCTTCCACTCCCAAGATCCCTTTCTGCATGTGGGGACTTAATCGATAAGCGATGGGTTTTAAGGTTTATTGCTATTCTGTTTCGTAGCACTCGATGTATTATTGTCCCCTGCTTTCGAAGGACACGTGCCCTCTCAATGCGCTCACCGGTCGGCGTTTGTCCGAATGCGTGTCGACCGCTCACGTATACGGAAACCATGAGCCTGATCTCTTCTGTGTACGTCGTGAGTCTTGCGTTTTTTTGTTAGAACGTGTTTCTCAGCAGATCGGAACGATGTCATATTCCGCCACGAGCCTCAGAAAGCAGAGTCAGGAGAGAAGTACTCGATGAGCCAGGGCCCGCTGTCCCCACACGGCGGGTCCCGAAGGCATACGGAGGGGATGGGCACGTGTCATCAAGATGCCAAAGGCCTCCCGACCTCTCTGTCGGGTCCTGTTAGTGCACCGGGCGGCTGCAGGATTAGCGACCCCTCCTGTTACCCACACACCGTAGCACACTCGGGGTACTCGGTCAGTAGTCCCTGTCCACTGGCACTTTGTCACAGATGAATTCATCAGAAAGGGAATGTGTGGCTTTACCTTGAGGCCACAGTGGGGAGGATGGGTGAGCTTCGAAGAGAGCAGGGTGGGTCCAGGTGCCTGGGGAGGGCGGAGCGGGGGTGCAGGAGGTCGGGGGGAGAGCTGAAGGCCAACCGACCGTTAAGCAAACGTGTTTAAGTTGGCTCTGAGCCTTGGGGTCGCTACGCACATCTCTGTACGTGGGAGAGAGGGCCGAGCCCATTTTATTTTAAGTGGTTTTGCCCTGGTCTCTCTGAAAGTAGCGTTAGCTCGTGTATTGAAGCCCCTCCTGGTGAAAAGACAAAAGATTTCGTCCGCGATAACCTCGGATGAGGGAAGCCGGCCGTGGTGTCAGCAGACGGGTACCGGCTCACCTTTAATCCTGGCCGGGTCTCGTCAGGAAGCAGATGCCGTCCTGCCTCCGTCTTTCGAAAGGTCTCGGCAGGCAGCTCCCCGGCGTGTGCCCTGTGCCTGGCAGCGTCCCACACGGATCGTCTACTCACTGGCTTTCTCGCCACAATGACCCTGCGGGACGGGAGTCATCACGGTCCCGTTCCGTAGATGAGGACACCGGGGTGCGAGGGTGAAGGGACTCTCCCAAGACCACACGCCAGGCCAGGCGGGGCGGTCAGGATGTGTGCGAGGCACATCGTACCAGCAGGAACGGAAGCAATTAGCTAACTGCAAAATGCTACTCTTTGGCATTTGAGTCTACGGGGACTTTGTGCCACCGGTTTGAACCCGCCGGAGACGCATTAGTCATTCAAAGTCATGATCGACATCTTCCTCCTACAGAAACATTTGGCCCCGGTGAGGCGTCTGCGGGCTCAAGTGGCCGGGTCACGGGTAGGGCTGTTGGTTCCTTTTTCCAAGGACGCAGCTTAGTCCCTGCCTCACACCGCACAGCCAGAGCGGGAGGCGGAGGCGGGGTCCTGGCTGGAATGCTCTTCAGAGTTTATTGAGTCAGATGCTAGCCAGAAGGGGACCAGGTCCGGGGCCAGCGGTCAGGGCCAGCAGCCACGGGGAAGGACAGCATGTCCCGAGTCGACGGGCTAGTTCGCTGCAACAGTCGGAGGAGAAAGAAAAATATCGTTCTGAAAGGGTTTATGCCGACTCTAGTCAGAGCAGGCGGAAGAGGGCGAGGCGGGGCTGTTCTGAGAGAGACGCTCTGTCCCCCGGGAGGCTCACTGTCCCCAGGGAGGCTCACTGTCCCCCGGGAAGGCTCACTGTCCCCCGGGAAGGCTCACCGTCCCCCGGGAAGGCTCACTGTCCCCAGGGAAGGCTCACTGTCCCCAGGGAAGGCTCACTGTCCCCAGGGAAGGCTCACTGTCCCCAGGGAAGGCTCACTGTCCCCAGGGAAGGCTCACTGTCCCCAGGGAAGGCTCACTGTCCCCAGGGAAGGCTCACTGTCCCCAGGGAAGGCTCACTGTCCCCAGGGAAGGCTCACTGTCCCCAGGGAAGGCTCACTGTCCCCAGGGAAGGCTCACTGTATGCCCAGGGAAGGCTCACCGTCCCCAGGGAAGGCTCACCGTCCCCCGGGAAGGCTCACCGTCCCCCGGGAAGGCTCACCGTCCCCCGGGAAGGCTCACCGTCCCCCGGGAAGGCTCACCGTCCCCCGGGAAGGCTCACCGTCCCCCGGGAAGGCTCACCGTCCCCCGGGAAGGCTCACCGTCCCCCGGGAAGGCTCACCGTCCCCCGGGAAGGCTCACCGTCCCCCGGGAAGGCTCACCGTCCCCCGGGAAGGCTCACCGTCCCCCGGGAAGGCTCACCGTCCCCCGGGAAGGCTCACCGTCCCCCGGGAAGGCTCACCGTCCCCCGGGAAGGCTCACCGTCCCCCGGGAAGGCTCACCGTCCCCCGGGAAGGCTCACCGTCCCCCGGGAAGGCTCACCGTCCCCCGGGAAGGCTCACCGTCCCCCGGGAAGGCTCACCGTCCCCCGGGAAGGCTCACCGTCCCCCGGGAAGGCTCACCGTCCCCCGGGAAGGCTCACCGTCCCCCGGGAAGGCTCACCGTCCCCCGGGAAGGCTCACCGTCCCCCGGGAAGGCTCACCGTCCCCCGGGAAGGCTCACCGTCCCCCGGGAAGGCTCACCGTCCCCCGGGAAGGCTCACCGTCCCCCGGGAAGGCTCACCGTCCCCCGGGAAGGCTCACCGTCCCCCGGGAAGGCTCACCGTCCCCCGGGAAGGCTCACCGTCCCCCGGGAAGGCTCACCGTCCCCCGGGAAGGCTCACCGTCCCCCGGGAAGGCTCACCGTCCCCCGGGAAGGCTCACCGTCCCCCGGGAAGGCTCACCGTCCCCCGGGAAGGCTCACCGTCCCCCGGGAAGGCTCACCGTCCCCCGGGAAGGCTCACCGTCCCCCGGGAAGGCTCACCGTCCCCCGGGAAGGCTCACCGTCCCCCGGGAAGGCTCACCGTCCCCCGGGAAGGCTCACCGTCCCCCGGGAAGGCTCACCGTCCCCCGGGAAGGCTCACCGTCCCCCGGGAAGGCTCACCGTCCCCCGGGAAGGCTCACCGTCCCCCGGGAAGGCTCACCGTCCCCCGGGAAGGCTCACCGTCCCCCGGGAAGGCTCACCGTCCCCCGGGAAGGCTCACCGTCCCCCGGGAAGGCTCACCGTCCCCCGGGAAGGCTCACCGTCCCCCGGGAAGGCTCACCGTCCCCCGGGAAGGCTCACCGTCCCCCGGGAAGGCTCACCGTCCCCCGGGAAGGCTCACCGTCCCCCGGGAAGGCTCACCGTCCCCCGGGAAGGCTCACCGTCCCCCGGGAAGGCTCACCGTCCCCCGGGAAGGCTCACCGTCCCCCGGGAAGGCTCACCGTCCCCCGGGAAGGCTCACCGTCCCCCGGGAAGGCTCACCGTCCCCCGGGAAGGCTCACTGTCCCCCGGGAAGGCTCACTGTCCCCCGGGAAGGCTCACTGTCCCCAGGGAAGGCTCACCGTCCCCAGGGAAGGCTCACTGTCCTCCAGGAAGGAGAGTTTGTTCCTTTGGGCAGCTGGTGGGCAACAGTCTGGAAAGGTCCTGCGCAGGCAAGCAGCGGAGGCTCCGCGGTCGGTGGTGCCTGGCTGTTTCAGATGGTCATGGAAACAGCCAGCTGGGCCTCGTGCAGCGTCCACGTGCACTCAGGAGAGTGAGTGGTCGGTCCTGTGCTGTTTTGCTCTGCAGCCGTTAACCGATCGCCTTCCCTCATCTCCTGCATCCTCCAGCCTGCTGTAATTTAATTTAGCACGTCTCAGAACTTTTTCTCGTCACACCAGAAGAAAAGGCAAGAGGAGAGAAGGGGCAGGAGTGGGGACAGTCCCTGGGTCCAGATGGCTACTGGTTTCTCACACCCACCTTCAGAGTCTTCAAAGGAAACTAGCAACTTCCTGGGTCTGGCCGCCAGGTGGGGCTGCGGGGGCGGGGGGCAGCCACTCCCTCCCTCTCCTCCTGGTCCCTGGAAAGTTCCAGATTGTTTCCCAGACTGGGGGCAGCTGCCGCCCGGGCCTGTGACCTCAGTGGCGCAGCTCACCTTCCTCCCGGCGTGCCGGAGTTCGCCGTGGGAAAGAACAGTGGGGGCTGTTCAGGGCTGCCAGGCCGTGACCGTGACCCCGTGAGTCAGAGCAGCCACAGGAAGTGGGCGAGACCGCCAGGCGGGCACGGCCCGAGGCAAAGGCCCAGAGTCTGCACCCGCCCCCAGTCAGGCCCCCGCTGTGAACGGTGAGAACACCTCTGCGGCCCTTTGGAAGTGGGGGGCATCGCCTCCTGGGCACAGTCATGTCCCGAGGGATTCGGCGTAACCACTTCCGGGGCCCATTCCCAGGAGGGGAGCCGTCGCCGACCACGTGGACGGCTGTTGAGAAAAGTAGCTGCGGACACGGTTTGTTTAAGGCTACGTCTGGTGTCCGCAGCCCCAAGAACTGTGGTTCTGGACGCGTTCTTACTGGGCGAATGCTTTTCTCAACGGAAACGTGTCTGAGATAACTGCAGAGCCTCGTGCAGTCCTAGGGAGAGGCGCAGAGGCCTCTGGTAAGCTTCGACCAGGTTTCCCCGATGAGACATTTTGCCAGATTGTAGGACAGTGTCACAGGCAGGACATGGACAATGATAGGGCCCACTGACCTGTTCAGATTTCTTGGTCTTACTTGCACTCGTGTGTGTGTGTGTGTGTGTGTGTGTGTGTATCTGTGTGTGTCTGAGTGTATGCATGCGTCTGTGTGTGCATGTCTGTGTGTATGCCTGTGTGTCTGTGTGTGTCTGTGTGTATGCATGTGTGTTGTGTGTGTGTGAATATGCA